CATCTTCCACCTATGACCACACAGGTCACCACACCAAGCATCACTAAAGATATGTGAGGGCTGGGCACGGTGGCTCATGCCTATAATCTCAGCACTTTGGGAGGCCGAGGTGAGAGGATTGCCTGAGCCCATGGGTTTGAGACCAGCCTGGGCAACTTGGTAAGACCTTATCTCTACAATAAATAAAAAAATTAGCTGGGCATGGTGGTATGTGCCTGTAGTTCCAGCTACTTAGAAGACTGAGGTGGAAGATCACCTGAGCCCAGCAGGTCGAGGCTACGGTGGCCATGAGCATGCCCACCTGGGCGACAGAGTGAGACTCCAACTCAAAAAAATAGATGTGTGAGGGTAGGCCAGCTCCGAGAGTCTTGAATGAGACTTGGCATGATGGGGCTGTAAGAGCAGACATGTGCACACACATGTGCACACAAGCACACGCAGACACGCACACACGTGCACACACGTGCACACAAGTACACACATGCACACACATGTACAGACACCACAGCACAGCCAGCAGGTATGGTTATGAAAACCTGCAACGACTTCGGAACAGGAAACAGGACTTGGCCTGAACAGATGCAAAAGGATAACTTCGGATCACTCCCCTAAAGAGCTACTGGAAATGCAAAACACGTAGCAGCCAGGTTGTGCACATGTAAAAACATGGAAATGACACATGCTCAGAAACAACCCATAAAAGAGTGTCACCCCTCTCCTTGAGATATGTTTCATTTTGAAGTGACATATGCCTCAAAGTTGGGCCATGGGGAAAGCATGTTAAATCAGCCTGTGCTTTTCTGGCCCTCATAGGGTCTTGACAGAACAGGAAAAAAATGCAGGGGTGATAAACAGGTCTTCTCTGCAGAAGCTTCCCACAAATGCTAAATATTAAACATTCCATTTCTCCAGGAAGTTTCTTTTGGATGCTCTGGACTGAAAGTAACTGAGCTTGCAAATCCCATCCCCTTCTACTCCCCCTCCAGAGCACAGAGTATTTAAGGATCTTTCCATAACAAATCTGCCTACTGCTGGCAAAGGTTGCTTCACAAATTCAAACAAGGGCTGGGCTGTTCGCATCCATGGTTATCACTGCCCTCTACCGTCCACAGTAAACATTTCTGATCAACTTTAGAAAGCACAAGACCTCGCAGCTTGAAGAACATCGGTTCAGGCTTCTGATGTAACTGTGTCCAGAGGGGGCATTCTGATCCCTGAGGCCTCAATAGGCTGCCAAGAGTGATTATCAGGAGGAAATACATTGGCCCAGCCCTGTATAAAATGGCTTTTCTGTTTTGTTAGTGCTGCCTGGCTTTCAGAAGAAGAAAGCAAAATCTCAGCTGGGGACTGGTTTTGAGAGTAGGATCTTCACTTTTCTTCTGGTGCCTCCTGAGGACGCGCCCTCCAAGGCCCTGGGGAGAGGTGCTTATTTCCCGTCTCCTCTGTGCCCTCCCTGCACTTTGCCTGTCCTTCTTGTCTGCCTGGTCTCACATTCTCCATGTTACTGGAGCCCAAGTCTTAGCCGCCCCAGGTGGCTGGAGCGGGACCAGGACAGGAGGTATGAGCCTAGGGAAATAGCTATGGCTTAGACAGATGTTAAGCAGATCCAGGTTGGCATTCTCCTCCTTCTCTCCTCCTGGGCTCCTGTGGCCCCTACCTGGCTCCCTGGAGTCAATGGGCACACCCTGTTACCTCCATTCCCAGAGCTCCTGAAAGGGAGGTGTGTGCTCACACCTTCCAGGCCCCGTCTGTTGAACAAAGAATCCTGAGCCCTGTCTGTCTGCCTCTTGCTCCTATTTCTCAGTTTCACTATTTTCTCCAAGGATGGGCCACACACGAGCCTGGCACTGTGGGTACCTCTCTGCTCCAGGAGTATAGAACCCCCCTTGCCATGCCGGGGGAAATGGGGAGATACCCCATCCTCAATATGACCAAATTTACTGAGTTTAACTAAATAAACTCAGACAGAGAAAAAATTAAGTAGCCATCTTTTGCATACCTGGGTTTATGACGTATTATATTTGTTTCTGCTATACTTGCAACCAAGAAAGTCTTGACTAGAAGGTGGAGGTACAAGAAGAGTCAGAATATCAAGTCAGTCAGGGGAATCGATGTCAAGAAAGAGGAGTTGGTCAGACAGTTTGGGGAGAATGACCAGTGAGAATAAGTGTGGGTCACCACAGACTGCTGGGAAAACAGTTTCAAAAGCATCAGGGCAGAAGCGGGGCTGTAAGGGGTTAAAAGAGATGACGGGCTGGGCGCGGTGGCTCACACCTGTAATCCCTTTCTAAGCCTCAGTTGCCGAGGAGAGGCCAAGGTGGGAGGACAGATTGAGCCCAGGAGTTTGAGATCAGCCTGGGTAAACATAGTGAGACCTCATCTCTACAAAAATAAAAAAAACTAACTGGGCATGGTCTTTAGGGAAGAGGAGGGCAGGGAGGAGGAGGAGGAAGTAGAGGAGGAAGAGGAGGAGAAATGATTGAGGAGAGTCCCACATTCCCACAGACACAACCTGGTAGGGCTGGTGGGAGAGAAGCTTTGAGGGGCTAGTAGGATAGGAGTCCTCCAAGATCAGGAAGGTGGGTGCCAACGTGGAGACCTGGGAGGGAGCCTGCAGAGAGGACAGGACAAGAAGGAAGGGCCACGGGAGATGGGGACGTATGCGGGGATGGAGGAAATGCAGGGTTTGCCCTGGAAAGGAGGATGCATGCCTTGCCCTTCTAGGAGCTAGAAAGGGAGGAGAGGGCCGGGCTTGGTGGCTCAGTCTGTAATCCCAACACTTTGGGAGGCTGAGGCGAGTGGACTGCCTCAACCTGCGGGTTTGAGACCCACCCGGGCAACTTGGCAAGACCTTGTCTCTACAATAAATTAAAAAAAAAACTAGCTGGGCGTGGTAGCGCACGCCTGTAGTTCCAGCTACTTGGAAGGCTGAGGCGGAAGGATCGCCGGAGCCCAGCGGGT